TTAAATGGTTATACTAGAAAATAAATCGTAGAAGGCATGAGAAAATGTTGAAATTTATACAGGGCTAGTATAAACCATTGTTTAGTAGCCTCATGTTCGTTGAAAGAAAACAAAAATTATCCATTGACGCTTTATAAAAGAGCATGTCATCTGCCGTAGAGTAAGAGTCCACAAATCCTTTAAAAATGATTTGATGCATTTTCCACATGGTTGTAATAATTTATTATCTACATCATTATTTTTAACTAGTCCCTACAGGGAAATGTAATTTCAGTGGCTGGAGGCATTCTTATGGACCAACAAAAATGTGTGATAATTTGCCGTACATTGGCTCAGACCAATTTACAAGGGCTGTGTTCTGTTGAATGAGGCTAACATAGCCCTGGTAACTGAATAGCAGTTGCAACATTGATATCTATAGAGAAATGACAGAGATATGCTCATTTCCTTTAACCTCCCATAAAGCTCTTATAGTCATAATGCTGGCAAAGCGTCAGGAGAGATGTGGTCCACAACATCTGTAATACCAAAGGGCCTACCCCTGATTTAGACCTTAGTAGATTTAGACCTTAGTAGATTACGAAGTGGTTTAATAACTGAAGTTGTCATTCTACTTGAGTATCCAAAAATTCTAGACAAATTCAGGAATAAATCAGGACAAGAATAACAATAACCAACTACAGAATGGTGCAAGACAGTCTCAAAACTTTAGACCCTTCACATGTTACTTAATGGATGAATGGCTCATCCGATGAAAATAAACAACTGGAAGCTCAAATACAATGAGAATTAGACAACATTGTCAGTTGTCTGATTGCAAACTTGATCCATCTTATTTTCCACAACTAGGCTGGACTGAATATAGAAGGAGAAAGTTTCCATTTCAAATAGAAGCTATCATTACAAAAAGCTGTCGTACGTGATAGCCAAAGCAAAGGTAGAATGGGTTTATTCTATAGGGAGGTCCAAAATACCTTAATGTTTAAATCATTTATCTCGGTTTATACATTGTTGCTATTTATTAATTAATTTATCTCATTCATTAAATGTGTATTACTCAATGTATTTATACTTAGTTTAGTCATTTGGGTGAAGGGGTCGACGGTGAGGGCAATATATATTGTATATTTCTGAAAGTTCCACTGTTAAAAGCATATAGATTTTGATTTGTAACTTTCCTTCTACTCGATTTGTTCAGAGTAACTTATGATGAAATTCAGTGTTTTATAGACATACAAATCCTATATTTAATATAGGATTTGGACATGTCAATTATGTCAAAATGTCACGTATGCCAATAGCTGATATGTAAGCAGACAAATGGTTACGAGTGTAATGTGATAATTTGGTGACTAATATTCTAAGTTAGAGGTTACAAAGTTTATTTAGACCAAGGCACACTTCAATGAGATATATTTTCCAAAGATGCCTATTTTCTTTTTAACCTTGGAAGTTCCCATGGAAATCCTAGTTATAATGCCGACACTTATAAAAACTATCACATTTCAAGGACTGCAATTAAATCTAAATTTATATATTACTGCCACAGCTCAAGGAGTATTTAGACAAAACACTACTCTAAGTTACTATGGGGGGGGGTGGGGGGTGGGGGAGGGAATTATATAGAAGATAGTAGACAACCTTTTACTCTTTAATTGCTATTGAGAAATACGCATTGAGGAAATTCAATCAAAATAATGTAGCTGTCCCAGCTAAACAAAGTGTGACAACAATATTAAAGTATTTCTTATAGAATATACTGTACCTGGAAACATCAGATTGCTAACATTCCATCAAGTCAATGTGTTACCATTGTTCTGAGAGTTCAATATTCTGCACAGTAAGCTATAAATATTATGGGAGTATATATCATCATAAAGTTTTATGAGAGCATAAAGCTGTCATAAGCCTGATATATTCTTCCCCTCTCTGTACTTTATCCTAATTTGGTAAAACATTCAATAAAAGTAACGTTTATTTCCATTTGCATTTAAATATTATATATAAAAATACCATAAAATAAAGTCTTGATAAAGGCATTAATCATCTCTAGTTGCTTTCGTTTTAAGAACACTTGCCAGATATAGATAACATTTTATTTAATAATTTTCTATTGAAGCATTTTGGAACAGTAGCTTTTTTCAGAAATGTGTACACTATCTGGTCCTATTTGTTATATTTGGCGAATGTCGTAATAAATTTCTTTAGTTTGTATACAAGTCATTGGCACCGCGGTAAGCATAGTGCTGTTTAGGGAAGGCTTTAGATAAAGGTTATTAGATAAATATATTGTGTTATTAATGAGAGAGAAATAGCCTTGATAATTGAAGGGCCGAACACTCTTTTAAAATAACAAACATTAGATACCCCTATGACAAACCTCCCGCCGCATATACATCAACCAAGAGGCACATCCAAGGACTTAAAGATAAAGTGTTTACTGTTTATTCAGTTAGTGCATAATTTAGTCGATCTTTCAGACTCACAGCGACTTTTATCAAGACAACATAAACAGGTGCACTCCTTAATTATATAGATAATCTGAAAATGAAAATGGGGTTCACCATACTAACGGTCAGAGTGACAACACACACCACAAAAGAAAACTTCAGCAACTTGGTGTTTGAAAAAAAGATTAGTGAAAATTATAATTTACAACCCAATAAGTCAATACCCAAGCAGTGTGGAAAGATTATATGAATACAAATTATAGATATTAAATCTCACATATCTTTGCCAGTGAAGGGAAAAGGCTGTATAAGTTTACACACTTTTCTCACCCATGCCTTTAAAGAGTGCAATTTTACATTTACTGTGTGTCACATCTATACATTACTATGCAAACAATCGTCAAATACATATCAATGTATGATTGTAAATTGCTATACAACTAAATATGCATGTATCTCTTAGCAACAGAACAGATGTGTCTTCACCACCCTAAACAGAGTTACAAATAGAATCTCCATGAACTTGCTTTATGACAATGTTAGCAGCAATTATTATGGATTAAATTAAATTATAGCATATTCTGTGAAAATCATTCAACAACATAAAGATATGCAAGAACAGCTGCATTAAAATAACTCAATCTCATAAGGCAATGCAAAGAGAAAAGTAAGTTTAAAGGGACACTATAGTCACCCAGACCACTTCAGCTCAATGAAGTGGTCTGGGTGCCAGGTCCCTGTAGGGTTAACCCTGCCTGCTGTAAACATATCAGTTTCAGAGAAACTGCTATGTTTACATTTGGGGTTAAGCCAGCCTCTAGTGGCTGCCTTCCGGACAGACACTAGAGGTGCATCTGCGACGCTGGAGGCATATTATGCCTCCATCACACAGAGTGTCCATAGGAAAGCATTGAGAAATGCTTTGCTATGGACACTTTGAATGCGCGCACGGCACTGCCACGTATGCCCATTCCGCTCTGCTGAAGTCAGACAGGGCAGCTGACGTCGGCGGGGGAGGAGAGGTAAGGGAGCCCGGCGGTGGAATAAGGTGAGTAACTGAAGGGGTTTTAACCCCTTCAGCATCTTTGGAGGGGGTCCCTGAGGGTGGGGCACCCTCAGGGTACCATAGTGTCAGGAAAACCGATTTGTTTTCCTGACACTATAGTGATCCTTTAAGGTGACAGAACCACTTTCAACTTCTCTTTTCCCTAACTGAGGCCGAGTTTTCTCTAAGCCCGATCCTCCAGGGCTGACATAACTCCCCCTGAGCTAAAATTGAGGGATGTCAGAGATCACGGATGAGGGGAAGACAAAGGTGGGACGGAGGGAGTGGTTGTCTCCCCTGGCTTTTGGGCACTAACATGCTGGTATCAGATGCCATCTTAGACAGAATTGACAGAATAAAGTTCTCAGCTAGCTAATGACATAAACATGACGTTACACATTTAGCAGTAAGGAGTTAATCTCAGTATATACAGTGTTTCAAAGCAAAACATTGGACAGACAGGCGCCAGGAACAGGTTATGGTGCTTGGAGAAATCCTTTAAGCATTCTTTTTTTTTTTTTTTTTTTACATAGTTTCAAAATCATGCAAGTTTCCATTTATATTAGCAAAATAATGTGATCACCCCCAAGAAATTGATATATAAGTCAGATGCAATACATGACTTACATAATATTCTAAACATCTGACTTTTATGTATGGGGTAAGTGAGAGATTAGGCTATGTGCAGTCAGTAAAATAATCTCTGCACTGCTTGTCTCCCATTAGCTGCATACTGTTCTTAATTTACCATTCTAGAATGAGAAAATACTATGCTCTGGTAATTCTTTCCTGAAGTGCTGTAAATTAGAAATAAACTTGTGCACATCCCTTCGGAAAGAAGTTTTGTTTAAACAAAAAAGAGCGAATTAATGAAAAATATTTAGTGTTAAAGTCAGTGGCATGTTGCATGCACAGAGTATCAATTAGTTCATCCCGTACTGGCTTGTTGTATTGATATAGACTCCAAATCATATCGGGCAACAAGATATCTTCAATGCCAGAAAGCAGACATAAATGGCTTACTGAGATTTTCAGTGCCTATTTAAACTGTTAAATATAAATGGTCAGTCTAAGCACCAAATCTAATACCACTTAGTGTAGTAGTTTTGGTGTATAAATCATACCCCTTCAGCTTCACTGCTCAGTTCACTACCATTTAGTATTTGAATGTTTCTGCAAAATGTTAATATTTCTGCAGCACTAGAGCCACCTCCCCTGGCTATCAATCACACAGCTTCCATACTCTAATGCTGGCATAAAGTATTGCTAGTAGTCTTCTGTATAAGATAGGTATCTCACACAAAGATTGAAGAATACATCAAAATTCCAGAGAAAGTCCCAGGAAGAAAGAAGATGCAGACCTCATCTTGACAATATCAAAGAAGGCCTTTCTGGTGTCCTTTACAACACATTTTATTTTTTTACATCATTTGTAAAATTTGTATATATATATCTATATATAAAATCAAAACAGAAGCACTCTCTTGGCTTTCCAAATATATTTCAAAAAGCAATCACCACCTCTACATCAACGTTTCAACCCTTCAGGGTCTTGATCAAGATCTTGATAAAGACGCTGAAGGGTCAAAACGTTGATGTAGAAGTGGTGATTCCTTTTTTGTTTTGATTTTTGTTCCTACTGTTTGCTGGGAAGCACCCGGGTAAATTTACTATTTTTGATTTTGTTGGGGTTGAGTGCCAGTGTTTGGACATTTATATATATATAGAAATATATAGATATACGGGATATTTGTAAGAGGTATAGGAGTAGCAGACTTCTAGCACATATAGTTGAGTATTGGAGGCAGCCCAAATCAGAGACTCTATGTTCCAGTCCAATGAAAAATGTGCATAGTGAAGGGAGAGAATAGTGCCTTGGGGAATTCTCAGGTAACAGAAAATATGTAATGAAAAAGAGAACACAAAATATAGCACAGTATTTCTGGTGCAGATAGGTGGAAGAGAAAGGGGAATGCACTTACAGTGTAAAGTGCTAGAATCAGCTCTTCCTTAATACACCTAGATGGTACAGTTCCCGCTACACATGTATGTATTTATCTATCAATAAACAATAACAAAATATTGGAGAGATACTCACTGCTATGGAGCATTTTTTTAAAAAATATATATTTATATATATTATGTTTTTAAATTTTTTAGTTTTTGAGTACCTCTCCAATATTTTTTTTTTTACTTTTTATTGATAGCAGTGAGCACTATATATATTTTTATATCTGTTTTTATCTATACATACATCATGAGATCTACCAACTAACACGATCCACAAGTGGGGATTGAACCACTTTCTGCTGCTTTCTGGGAGCCATTTGGAGGCTCCACAAGTGGCCACACACTGAAACTACTGGAACACAGTGAATATGTAGAATGGTCAAATGTAGCCCCAAGGTGCTAAAACACAGTGAATATGTAGTGTGGCTGAATGAAGGGCGAATGTATTGAATCAGACTGAATATGTAGTATGCCCAAAAGAGGGCCGAATGTGCAATGTTAAAAGAGAAGAACCTGGGGAGGTTGACCGCAGGTCAGGCTCCCAACTCACAAATTTCGAACGTATTCTCCTCTACTGATGTCAGAAAGTTATCCTAAGCTAGGAACCGGAAGTTCAGTGCGGTAACATAGCAACTAGGTTCCAAAGCACTGCCAGAATGTCATGAGGATACTGGGGTGGGTTAGTTATGTATATAAATATATATATTTATACACACACATATACACTACATAAAAATAGCCCTCTGGGGACTTCTTTGTGAAGGACACAAATTGCTATTTATTTAGTCAATATTTCAGTTTAACAGCACAAACATTATTCAGTTTAATTGCAGGAGCAGGTTCTGCGGTTAACGATACATAGGATTTTAGGCAGTTAAAAAGGGAGTTTTGAAAAAGCAATAATTGCATTTTTTTTTTTTAAACCAGTATGCATTTTGCAACTCAGTCTTCCCTTTAAGACAATGTAGCTCAGATCTTGAAATAAACATATTAAATATATATAAGTAATCCCTCAAATCATTTAGACATACATGATATATAAGAAAGAGTTCTTAGGAATCCTGATTACATAATAATTTATCCTGCTTTATTAGTTATCACCTGTTAAATCATTGTGGGTATTGGAGTGTTACAGGTATTTATCAATATCTAGGTCTCTCCTCTGACAGCTAGGACAGAACATGTTGGCTGCTCGCTGATTGATTAGTTGTGTGCAGCATTCAAATTAAGCACTAAAATTATGGGAATCAGCATAACTGAACTTCACCTTTCCATTCAGCCATCAGTAAAACCACTGGGCATTTCCCTAATATGAAGACTGTCACAGTATGATGCAGGAGCTGAGAAGGAGATATATGGTCTAATGCTGCAATGATAGTTAGAGAATTCCATCTCTTTATATCATAATGGTATCAGTTTGGAGAATCAAGCTATTGTTTGCAGAGGGTTAAAATGATGAGTAAGATTTTGGGGTTTCAGGCAGGCAATTTTTGGATTGAAAGAGCACACATTGGAAGAAGGATAGAATTAAAATTGATACCTGCTTTTAAGAGGCCATGGAATGTAATTACTATAACTCATAAGTAAAGAATTATGGAACCTATGGTTCACAGCATCTATAGCAATAAACATTCCTTAACACTAACCCTCCTTAATGTCACTGCAATGACTTGGTACTACTGCATTAGAAGAAGCTTGCACCATTGCAGTTCTAGGTAATCTTAACATTGCCCAAATTGTTAAGATATTCTGGGTTGCCCACATTGACCAATAGTATAACTTCATTTATTTGTTTGAAATTTCAGAGCTGTTAAAATGCCAAAACATGCATTATAAGACTTGCAAACCAATCGGTCCAAATTCAAAGAAAGCCTTAAATAGCAAATCTCTAATTTGACCACGTAATGTCACAACGTCTCGATAAAGGTATGGATTGGGGAGTATTGCAGAAAATAAAAAACAACAACAATATTTACTAAATTTGGGAGTAAATTTTTTCTTTATATTCCACATGACCCCTTTAACCTTTGGCCATTGTTTTACAGAACACTTATCAGGAAAAAATCATCTGAATAATCAGTTTGTCACTCTTGTTCCCCTGACTCTCAGCAGCCTTTGTTTTTACATTTGTAAAAACATTACAGTTTAGTTTTTATATTTGTATAAGAGTAATTTCTTGCTGGTTTTAAAAAAAACAAATAAAAATTATCAACTGATGCATGTCTCTTTACATTAATGCATTTAAAAAATATTTGTTTCATTTTATGTTACATGATTCTATCAGTACTATTTATGTAACAAAATAACGACGGAGATAACTGTTGTCATTCTGTACAACAGCCAAACACAAGCTTTTGCTTTCATGGGAAGGTGTAAGTATTTAGCATAAGTCACCTGGAGTACTATTAAATGGAAACAAATTCCAAGCTGAAATAAAGGAAGCCCTGATACATATTTGGCTTGGTTGTTGTTGTTTTTTATTATTACTATTATTATCATATAAACACTATAGCATTTGCAATAACTTTACAATTTACAATAAAAACTTTAAGGATTTAGTTGGATTTTTTCAGCACCAAGGATCCCTCAGCACTGCTTACCTCTCCGCCTCCTGCAACATACAGTTGCAATCAAAATTATTTAAAGGACCACTCTAGTGCCAGGAAAACATACTCGTTTTCCTGGCACTATAGTGCCCTGAGGGTGCCCCCACCCTCAGGGACCCCCTCCCGCCCAGCTCTGGAAAGGCGAAAAGAGGTAAAACTTACCTTTTTCCAGCGCTGGGCGGGGGGCTCTCCTCCTCCGATCCTCCTCCGTTCCTCCCCGTCGGCTGAATGCGCACGTGCGGCAAGAGCTGCACGCGCATTCAGCCGGTCGAATATGAAAGCATTATCAATTTGGGGGAAGGCTTAACCCATTCATAAACATAGCAGTTTCTCTGAAGCTGCTATGTTTATAAAAAAATGGGTTAACCCTAGCTGGACCTGGCACCCAGACCACTTCATTAAGCTGAAGTGGTCTGGGTGCCCAGAGTGGTCCTTTAACCCCCATTGAAAATCAGGTTTGTTATCAACATATACAGACGTTCAGCTGTTTGCAATGAACAAATCCAACAAAAGCAATTGAAATAGTGAAAATGCAACTTATAATGACATCTCCAGTCTCAAAATGATTCAACATCTTGAATAGAATCCCTCACAACAGCACAAATATGTAAAACAGGTGTAAGCACACCTGATGCAACTAATCAAGGGGTCATAAGTTGCACCAGGTGTGTTTGAGTTTTGTTGAGAGTCATGTTTGACTGCATGTTAGAAATATGACTAAGTCAAATTAATAGTCCACAAAGCTAAGAGAAGAGATCACCACCCTTCATAAACAAGGAACAGGATGAGGGGACAGGGCCTGATGTCCAACATGGCCAGACATGTCTCAAGGGTCTTTTGCCAATCTCAGCTTTTTATTGTTAAAATCCACACACTTCGACAAATCAAGTTACATGTGAGTGATTGCATGGACCAGTGCACCTTAATGAGCCCAGTTCATGGTGTTCTGTGCAATACTGCTCTTGTCCAAGATTAAGGCCTGCTGAGGCCTACTGACGCAGGCGCACCTGTAGTTGGTGAAAACAGACGATCCGCTGATACGAGGCGCAGTTCACTGCTAGAAAGTGCCCTGCTACCCCTCCTTTGGACCAGTGGGGGAGATCCCGGGCACTACTGAGTCAGGCGAAACTCGTATCCGAAAGCTCGGAGTCTGAAGCACCGCATAAGGTATGGCGCACCCAAGATGGCCACCACGCGGGAAGTTAAGCACTGTAGCCTGGGCCCTGAGGGCCAACAGTGGAAAATCCTCTTCGAGGCTCGGTTCCATGCCATCTGCCGAAAATTCTGGCACTACATTGAATATCGCGCTACACCAAATCCCCATACTGCTGCAAAGTTACCACAAGCCGCAGACTCAACAGCCCATTGCTCTGCCGGCCCGGGAGCCCAGGAGGAGTTGCCTCCAAACCACAGTCCACACACTCATGGTGTTATCCCACAATCCCAGTGCACAGAGTGAGGGGATTCATGGCTAAATGAAGCTAGCACCCACTGAGGCCTGGGCCGAAGAAACAAGGTTCTTATGTCTCTGGTTCAATCAGCCACCAATCCTCAAGCAAGCCTGAACTTTACCAAAGCATGGAGGAACAGCAAGATTAGCGTGGAGAAGGTCCCTCGTATGTCTTGTGTCTGTGCCTGTCGTAGGGGCGGCGGTCCCATCAGATCAGTTGCAGCAAAAAGCTGGACTCTAAGCCATGGCCCACCTGCGACATAGGGTGAACTAATTCACTGCCCTATACTGAACTGCCTCCAAACCTCGGCTCAACCTAGGCAATATAAAATATTATGTCTATAGCATATTACTTAGATGGAGGCTAACAAATCTCCTACTCACACAGGATGCAATTGAGCTCTGATACTATTATTTTGTTTTTGGCCTGTTGCCTTCTATTCTATTATTTCCTTACCTTTATACTGAAATGTCCATGCTATTTAAAATAGTGTCCCAATGTACCTCCTGCAATAATCCTCAGCTCTATAATATCAGGTGTTAACCTGTTTCA